TACTTTTATGTCTGGTCTTTCCGACCGACCACCTTGTACATCTTGCACCTACCTAACCCACCGAACTCTACCTAACCAAATGGATCTATGGAACGATCCATCCTTATCTTCTTTTTCCAATTCCTCATCTGTTCTTCGGGGATCATCAGTAAAATTTGCCCAACAGCATCTACCATATTTTACCTCACATGCTACTCTCACCACATTACATGTTGAATACCCCTCTCCCGCAATTTATATTGCTCACAAATAAACTGAGTTTGATTATCAAGCCTATATTCCTACTTCCTACCCTTCATCCAATTACACAGCAAAAGCACACCAAATGCCCATCGTGCATCCCTGAAAGATGAGTATTCCTCCTATGTTACACTAATGCTAATTAATTCCCGATCTGTTATCAATAAGATTACCCACTTACGCTCCCTAGTAATTCTAAACAATCCTTCCATTTTCCTGATTACTGAAAGCAGGTTGTCCTGCGATGTTTCTGACTCATACCTTCTAATAGACTCTTATGAACTCCTTCGCGGTGACCGAGGATCTAAAAAGGGTGGTGGTTGCCTCATCTATGTATCTAGAGACATCAAAGCAGAAATGTTTTATGCTACTGTTCTTAATCAAGTGCCTGATTCGATATGGCTCACTGTGCACGCCTATGAATGTAAAATACTGACTGAATGCATATATTGAGCTCCAAACACTCATCGATCGATTGACATTGCTATCGGCGAGTCGTTTGCAAGGGCTACCTCTCTTAAATTCACTTGCAAACTTATTTGTGGTGACTTCATCCTCCCTGGAATCAACTGGCAGTCGCGGTCCGGTCCACTACGCTCTGAAGTAAACTTAGTCCCCTAGACACACATGGTTGGCACTTGCCTACAAGAGACAACAACATTCTCGACATGGTATTTTGTCTTCATGTCATACCGACATCTGTGGCTTTCTGCGAAAAGTTTCTCAACAACAACCATTCGACAGTCCTCTGCGCCCTACCGTTTCCTGCAAAATAAGAAAACCTAAAACAATAACGTATTTTCAACGTAGTGACCATGAACACGCTGACTGAGACAGATTCCAATTTCTAATTCAGCACACTGGTGGAACTACGAATTTACTAATCATGAATTCTCTGAAGCATTACATGTATTCAATGTCACCATTAAATGTGCACTAGAAACTGCTGTCCTTAACAGAATGTCTTTCGAAACAATGACTCCTTATATCACCCATTAAAACCAGGGTTAGGCTAAGTAAACTAAAACGGGCATGTGCCAAAAACACTTCTACGACTTCTTGCGCGCAAAGTTCTCTTCGCGTTGCTGCCATTTTTCTTAACGCGCTGTTGCCCATGTAATGCCTAATTTCTTCTTCAGTAAAATATTGAAACATGGATTTATTTTTATATAAGTGACGGGATAGTATGGAATATTTAGTGGTGATCATAGACAATCTGGTATCTCTCCCCGGTAAACCATCAAACCCTATTGCAGTGTTAGTTCGGTTGAAATACCATGCATACTCTTTATGATAGCAGGACCAAAACATTCTAGCAATTTTTCCTCAACATATCTACATTATCCCGAGAGGCTGGTTTATAACCCAAAACCTGGAATTAAACTCATGTCGTCCCTGAACATAAATTTGCGCCGAAAACTTAATCCAAAACCATAGACAAATTAATATCATCCAAGTTATCTTACGTGTAATGGAAAGTGTGATAAGAAATCAACTATGTGGTAACTTACTCAAGAAAGGTATTGTCGACCCCTCACAACATGGATTCATTAGAATTAGGTCAGGCACTAAATGTCTGTACATTTCTTTAAGGAAATTAACAGCACATATATTCAAAAGCAACAAGTGATCGTGTTCTATTTTGATATCAAGGTTTTAGAAAGGTATCTCACAATCTCTTCATCAAAAGACTTCAGTCAACCGGAATTTGTGGCCCCCTATTGGAATTGATGAGGTATTTTCTCATGAATAGATACCAGATTAACTTGAGGACAGAAGCTTATATAAAGCAATCGACACAAACCCAATAAAAAAGTTGGATTATCAAATCTCAAGGACTCTAAACAAGCTTGTCAAAGCAGGACAAATATCAAAACATGATCAGGGGAGAATGAAATCCAATGGGCCAGTAATTCCACGATAGGCAGGAAATCCAAAAACCCAACATTTCACCACGTCCAATTTTTTCCCTGCCTAGGACCTCGACCAACCACTTATCAAGGGAAATGTCAATGATATTGAAACATCTTGAGGATGAATCCAACTACTCCATCAAGTCTCATACACAATTCTCGGTTAAACTCAAGGGGATTCTAATCGACGATTATATCCTTCGATGTAACAGCCTTAACCACCTCAATAGAGCCTAGCTTAGCTAAGGAAACTCTTTCTCTGCTCCTCAACAACGACATAAATCTTTAAAAATATGCGAAACTTCAGAGCTTAATCTTCTAGAACTTATCGGTCTTCGCCTGACAACGGTTTTTCAATTCATTAACAAACAAAAAGGACACCAATATCAGGACTCATCACAAAAGCTGTAATACAGAGTAGAGACGTCGGTTTCATCAGTGATTCGCGTTCACTACTTAGGTCGCTAAGACCGACGCCAATCCTATTTCCTTTTCAGGTTCCTCAAAGGGCAGTCGGGAAGTGAGATCCGCCCCCATACCCGTAACAGCACGAGACCAAATGGATCAAAATCAAATCCTTTGTACACCTCCCAACATCTCTCTTATCTCCACGATTAACCGATGTCACATTCAGCCCGCGCCGCTAATGCAAACGATTCGAGTTCACAAAACGTTATCCGTGGTCTCATGAAACTTTGCTCCAAACTACATGTTGAAGATTTTTTTGTTCGAAGCTTGAGTCTCTGGTGTTGGTGTAGCAGTGAATCTTAAAGCCGAACTAGCTCTTCTATACTGGATCCCAGTAGATAGTTGCTTGTGCGCTGTCCGATTAAACGGGAAAGTGAGGACTCGGAAAGATAGGGACACTCGTCGTTGCCTCTTCGTCGTATCTGCCTATGCCCCCACTGACTGCAGTTCAGACGAGCTGAAAGATGAGTTTTGTAGAAAGCTTTCGGAACTCTTCCAAAAATTTAGGTCCTCTGATACAAAGGTCAAGTAGGTAGAGTAAGTGAGAATGAAAGACACCTAGGTGGATGTTATGGTCTCGCAATTCAAAGAACAGAAAATGGCGACCGTCTGCTGCAACTATGCTCAGATAACATCCTATTCCTAGCAAACACTAACTTTAGGCATAAGGAAAAACATCTCTTGACCTGGAGAACCCCATGGCCGACCCAATGACGGACCTAACTACGTCACATCGCTACCAGCCATCAATGGAGGAGTTCGAAAGAAGACTGTTGCTATTTCTGGTGCAGATGTTTAGATCCAGACCATCCTCTAGTACGAGCGCGTAATTTCTTGCGACTTACTGGATGTAGGAAACACACCACAAGAAAACACCTCTTAGGGTTCTATTTAATGATAGCACAGGTAAGAATATATTTCAGGAGCGACTGGAAAAACAATTAGGCAAACTGTTACGTGTAACAGTTTACTGTTTAGAATCATACTGAATTATACTTCTTGAATAACATGTTCGAATCCTAATCTTTTCCATTACTGCTCATACTTATACCACATCTACTAACATTGGATTTGAACTGACAAATGCTTCTCTATGGTAATGTGGTAAGTAGTATGGCAACATGAACTTATGTACGCACGTACAAAGTTCTACGTTGTAACTGACTAACTGACTGATTGAAACAACAAACTAAACAGACTAACATTTAAATATATATATATATATATATATACCTTTTTGTATAACTGACAATTCACTTATAAACGTCAGTGGTAGGTTATACAAGACACAAAAAGTATATATATATATAATTTTTATATTTTTTTTATAAATAAGCAGTAACTTGAATTACTAATAATGAATTTAAACAAATTTCCTAAGTTTATTTTTTTAAAAAAAAGAAAAGAATTTCATTTCAAATGTTACAATAGTTTATATATCAAAAGGTATAGTAGTAGTAGTAGTAGTAGTAGTTCACTTACACATAATAAAACAATGACTATTTGTAAAATCCTATTTAAATTACAATCATACTAACATTAATAATAATTAAGAAACAAATAGTTAAAGAAACCTAATTGTGCATTAAGTTGGTTATCAAAAATGAAAGAAAACGATTATGCAATAATACATAATAATAATAATACATAATAATGAGAATATCCAAAAAAAAGAAGGAGAATGGGAGGAAAAAACAAAGTTTAGTTAAAAAAAAAACACAAACTCTACTAGAAATTGTTTCTGCTTAAAATAATGCGCTGCCACATTGAAACCAGAAAAAAAATGAGCAAAAATGAAAAAACCACATTATTAAAAGTTACTTAGTTACTTACTTGAAGTGTGTGTGTTTCATAAGAAAAAAAGGCAAACATTTTTTTAAAAACAATCATACATACATGAATAGATATATAGATATATATACTAACAATAGTAATAATAATAATAATGATAATAGTTATACAAGAGAAAACAATGCTAAGCAGTTAGAAAACTCCTAGTTCAACAATATTTTATTTGATTTGATTCAGTCATCCTATATAAAGAGAGTGTAGATATGAAACTTTTTTTCTTCTCTTTAAAAATTAAAATATTCTATTGTGATTCCAGGTAAAAAATTTCACATAAATCGATAAATAAATTACATTAATAAATAAAAAAAAAACACATACTTTCATGTTAGAAAATGGAGAGATAAAGCGAGAGAGAGAGAGAGAGGGAGAGAGTGAAAAAAGCAAAACAGGAAAAATGAAACAACAAGATTTAACCGATACACACACACACACAAACAGAAAAAAGAGAGAGAAAATGTGTTCTTTTACATAAATAACATGACGAAGAATTAATTCGATGAGGAATAATAAATAATTGGTTCATTGCAGTCATTTAGATAAACCGATTGAATTAGAATTGGTTGTGACAATCATTGATGATGATGTGTCGAAATGAGTTAATTCATTTGAAATAAGTTTATTCGTTGTAATTATTGTTGGATTTGTTGAAGAAGATGCAAGAGTAGTATGATTCGATGATGGTAGATCAGAAATTGTTGGTGGTGCAAATATCATAAATGCTAGTAAAAAAGAATGAAATAGAAATCGAATGTTATTGAATATAGTAAATAAATAAATTAGTTACAACTAAAAGGTTGATTTGAATTAGCGACTTAGTTTATTTTTATGGGATGGGGCCGCAAACCCTATACCCAATCCCCCTCCTTTATCCGAGCTTACGACCAGCATTAGCCCCGGAGAGGTTCCAGGCGGAGTTGAATATACTTATAAGTGATTACGGATCATTGTGCAACAATCAATTCAATGGAACTCACTACTCTATATCAACGTCATTGACTACGAGAAAGCATTCGATCAACACTATGGCGAGCCTAAGGAGGCAGTCAATATCATACTGCACTGCAAAACCGTGGACGGAGGACAGCTGACAGACTCGTTCGAGGTGAAGACTGGTGTCAGGCAAGGTTGCTTTTACTTTCACCTTTTCTCTTTCTCCTGGTGATCGACTGAATTATGAAAACGTCAACATCTGGAGGGAAGCACGGCATACAATGGACAGCCAGGATGCATCTGGACGATTTGGACTTCACAGATGATTTGGCTCTTCTATCGTATAAGCAAAAACAAATGCAAGAGAAGACGACCAGTGTAGCAACAGGTCTAAACATATATAAAGGGAAAAGCAAGAGCCTCCGATACAACACAACATGCTTCAACCGAATCACTCTTGATGGAGATGCCTTGGAGGACGAAAAAACATTTAAATATATGGGCAACATTATTGATAATCAAGGTGGAGAAGAATGAACAAAAATTGGATAGAATTGGAAATGGAAGCCGAGGACAGAGTAGGTTGGAGAACACTAGTTTGCGGCCTACGCTCGATTGGGGGTAACAGGCGATGATCCTGATCCACAGTGTTGATTTCTATATACAGTTAACTGTAAAGTCAACAGTAAATTACCTTAAAACTCCTCCTAGAACCCATCGAGATCTACTGCCGGTCCCAAGCCCGGATAAAAGAGGAGGGTTGGGTATGCGGTTGGCCACCCCCATCCAGGAGAAAATTAACTCGCTAAAAAAACGCTAAACTATCTTAAATCAAACTTTAGAAATATAAAAACTAAGCAGTGAAATTGAAAACGAACGTTTCGCCTTATTTTGCAGTAAACGACTTGATCTACCTGCATCTCAGGGTTGAAGGGAAGGCTCAAACTATCAATATCAATGAAGTAAAAACTAAGCATTATACAAATATGCGTTGTTTATATTATGACAGAGAAGCAATAGTAAAAATCTAATATACATGAGCTAATTTTAATACATCGATCGTTTTCTGAAGTTTTGATTGCTTTCTATCTGAGACACAATGAACAATGGAATTTGATTTAGGTTCAATAAGAACAATTCAGTAATGCATGAATTTCGTATGTGACTGTTAAGAAACGTACATGTCGGTTATGCACATTTTTGATGATAGCCGGTTTTTTCAAGGAAACAATAAGAACCAAAGTTTAAAACAAAGTTAGGGTTCAGATACTAAGCCACAAGTGAGTAACTTAAATCGAATCATTGATTGCATTATAACATAAATTAAGATAATACAGGCATTTCCTTGAATGAAATGAACATATATATCGATTACCTTGCCAGTTAAACATTGCATTTTGATAGTCTTCCAAGTCAGATAAATAAATATGTACAAACTTAAAATCACTGAGTAAAATAAAGGAACTAGATGTAGAAATACATGAGAACGCATAATAACACAATCACTTAAATGACTAATGTTAAGTAACTCAATGAGAAGAAAGGTGATACATCTAATTTTCGACAACTGAAACGATATGTCTACTTCACTGTTAGATATGCTTTAAAACTTCCGAATAATGAAATAATCCTTGAAGGATTTGTATGTTTTAGTGACAGTTTTTATAGAATAATATTATTTATTCCCTTACTAGTACGTCAGTAACTAATTCTATCCTAACTACTTGCTAATTAGACAGACTACATTACTTATAATTTGTTTGGCCATACTGATTCGGTACTTCTTTTTTTCTTGTTTGAAGAGAATATTTGTAGCCGCTACTGGTAATATACATAATATTTATATCACGCTTAAACAAATTCTGAACGACTTTCAAAACAGAATGGTACTTTATCTGACATAAGTGTATAAATTATTTCTCAACAATGGTCGATTGTCATTCTTTCTTCGTCTCTAATAATAATAATAACAATAATAATAATAATAATACGTAAATACTTATTAATATCTTAGATTTTCAATTTTTAAAGGAACATGAACTAAAAAGACGATAGTAGGAATTTGAAACAATATTTTTTCTGGAACTACGAACGATGAGTTTCAACGTATTTTTATTTTATTACGGGGTTGTGAAGATAGTTAAGTTACACATTTGAAATCATGAATCGATCAAAGTTAGACCACCATTAGAAACCTGGAAGCACTGATAGACATCCGTTTCGTCCTGGTATGGGACTCATCAGTAACAGTGCGCATCCACAACTCCTGCACCTCACAGAATTCGAACCCACGACCTTCGGTCTTTCTCGCGAACGCCTAACCTCTGGACCACTGAGCCAGTGTCTAACGATGTTAACGTCTAACTTCGATCAATTCACGAAGTTGCACAACCTCATACATTGGTATCACAAAAATTCTGGTCATTAAATACTAGTAAACAATGAAAATGTTAATAAACTTACATAACGGATTATTATTTTGTGATTGTGTCATAACAGATTGATGATCATTGGAATATGCTGCTGATGCTGCTACGGATGATGACAATCCTAATGATGCTGCTGCTGCTGCTGATGTTATCGTTGTTGTTGTTGTTGCAATTACATTATTAGTTAATGTTACAGATTGTAGATTATTTATCATAGTGGTAGAACAAAAATTTTGATAACTAGTTAATGTGTCCAATTTTGCAATGCCATTAATCAATGATGAACTGGTAGTAGTAGTAGTAGTAGTAGTTAATGGAGGTATAGGTAATTTACTTGAAGATGATGATTGATTAGAGTTTAGTGTTTTATTATTTCTTTTATTATGATGACCAGAATGTTTAGACAATATAGGCGGAGGACATGATGACATAGTTGAATTGATAGTTCTATTTGATTGAGGTTGTCGAGCAGCTATAGCTGAACTTAAACGAGCGCTTAGTTCTTGCTATCGAGTGAAAATAGTAATAGGAATTTGAAAAAAACAAAAACAAAACTAATTAAAAGGTAAGCATAATATCTCAGTGATATGTAGGAGTTAATAGGTATAATGGAAAAGAAATCAGATCATGTTTGTTTAACATTAAGCATATATTTAACAGGACTATATCATACATGAGGTTCGTATGTAAATGGTCAGTCAGTTGCAACGTAGAACTTCGTACGTATGTACATAAGTTCATATTGCCATACCACATTATTAGCACATAGACGCAAATGTCAAGTCAAATCCCATAATGATAGAGATAGTAGAGGTATTAATGGTAATGAAGAAGACTAGGGTTTGAAGATATTATTCAAGAAGTATAATTCAGTGAGATAAAGTTAGAAAGACAAAGGTAGAGGTGTTGACGAATCCAGAAGATTAGGATTTGAGAGAGCTCAAAGAGTGGATTCACCTGCGCCATTGCAAACGATTTTGAGCCATGTCGTTCAAGGTCTCTAACCATTGGTGACTTTTGTCTCGTGGACTCCAACCAGGTAGTCTACATCTACCAACATGACTCAGTCCAATTGATAGCGACTTCATGGATTTCTGCCATGTTTTGGTCTGGCCGCCCCTAACTTTCTTCCAACCTACTCCTACACTACAAAACATAGCTCGACGACGCAGTCGGTGGTTAGGCATACGTAACACATGTCCCAACCACCTCAACTGATGAAGTTTCACCACTTCATCTATTGATCTGCCATCCTTACCTAGTACTCGTTTTCTAACAACAGCATTGCTTACTCGGTTGTCCCACGATATACGAGCAATGCTTCTTAAACATCTATGATCGAATACTAGTAACCTACGTATGTATATCGGGGTAAATGCTATAATGAGAAGCCTATGACAATTTAATTTGGAGCCAATAAAAAAAGGAGAAAGTAAAACCAAATATTATCTACGAAATAAATTGCTCAGACTATGAAAAACACAACATAGGACAAAGTGGACGTCCTCTTCAGCTTCGTTCGCTTGAACATCAAATTCCATAACATTTCTTCAACTACACTGCAGTCTGTTCTTCATATCTTAAATTATATTATTATAAGTTATGAAATGGTGGAGAAAATTTCTAGCTCTGTTGAATGATTAGAATGGAGTTTCGTTCTCTGAGCTGGATGTTGTTAACAACACATACGAACAATTATAGACATATATTCGATTAGAGCAATGTTTAAATACAGGATAAAGGGAGTACAAAGAACACCAGAGAATTTTTACAAGCTTGGCACTCATGTCATTCAGCAATCAACAAACAAATCGACATTAACTCAATTCTTCAACCAATCAGCAAAACGAAAGACAAACAGAATCAAGAAACAGATAAAAGACGGATACAATCAGTTTAAAGTTACAGACAAAGACAGGTTTAATTTTAACAGCAACCAATCAAGATCGAGGTCAACAGAACAAGCTACAAGTCATAGGTGGAGAAATTCGAGTACTTCACTTCTGTCTGAAGCTTGTGCTACTGGTAATATTGTTTCGAAAAGGAACAATGAAAGCTCCACAACCAAAACATCCAACTCAGCAAATGAAACCCCATCAAAACCAGTAAAAAGCTTTAAGCACTGAATAAACAATTTGTTCTAGTGTAGGACTTTTCAACAGTGAACATCCAAAATCCTGTAAGCATGTCTAGTGGTCCAACATTGATCAGTTTACAATGTCAATGAAAAAGCTCAACAATCTCTACAATCTTAATATTGATAAACAACAGAGTACTTTTAGTTAATATATGATTCGTATTAAAATATTCATGATACTTACCAAATCATTAAGATCAACACCTTTAGTAAAATATGTAGAATTAGTTGATGGTAGCGACGAAGCAGAAGAACATGAATTGGATAAATAATCAAGAGTTGTTTTAATCTGATTATTAGTATGTATAGTTAAAGAATCATTTATAAATGTATTCGTTTGATGTTTTATTAAATTGGAAAAATTTGTTGTGTGCATTGTTTCATTTGATAATTTTAAACAATCTAATGACGTACTACTACTACTACTAGCACTACTTATTACTGGTTGAGTAGTATGATGATGATTCAAACAATTTTTATCGATAGAATTCAAATTTGAACAAATTGTACTACCAGCAGTAGTAGTAGTGTTATTATTATTAGTAATATCTTTTGATAGAATTGGAATTTTTTTATTTTCAATAGTTGAATATTTTGCAACTGATGGATTATTATGATTATTATTACTATTATTGTTGTACAAAGGCATAGATTGTTGTGAATGACCTGAACATGAAAGCAAAATTATGGTTAAGAATGAATGAAGCGGTTCATTAAAATAGGGAGACAATCAAAAGAATGATATTCATGATATTCAATGTCATCATCCCAATGATAATTAAACCATAATTTTTCATTCAATGTTGTAATAAAGATTAATTGACTAAAATTATTTATGATATGAACCAATTTTTCACTAGTTTCACGAAAAAAAAAACAATTTTCCGAAATTTTTTAATTAAAATGTCGCGTAACAATGGAGTCAACGAAGTTGAGAATTAAAAAAAGACAGAAAATTACTGACAATATTCCTTGATGATCATGGTCGACTTGAACTTAGAAAAGTGGATCACTGAATTTTCATCCAAAGGTCTATGGAACATCATGTTCGCTGAGAAATCTATCAGTCAGTCAGTTACAACGTAAGACTTCGTACATAAGTACATCAGTTCATGTCGCCATACCACATCAGCACAGAGATGTAATTGTCAATTCAAATTCAATAGTAGAAGAGGTAGTAAAGGTATTAGAAGTAATCGGAGAGGTTAGGATTAGAAGATATTATTCAAGAAGTATGATTCAATGAGAAAAGTTTAGAAAGTCAAAACTAGAAAGGTTGAAGAATCCAGAAGATTAGGATTTGAGAGAACACAAATCGTAATACCCAAGGTTTGAGGGCGAAGTCGTACTGTTGACTGCAGAGGGATGTGACAGCAGTAAGGTGTTTCCCTCGGACAACCAGCATCTGCAGCGATGCTGCCTTCTCACAAGGAAGGAAGGGTTAGAAAAGGTCTGCCCTAAAAATGTCACACCTTACCCTACCTCACGGATTTCCGTCTCCGTCGGTAAGGGTGCCCACTAAGGGCCTTTAAGAGCGGAGCTAATACTAAAAAAACCTTTCATACAAGGGCCGTGCGTGACCGAGCTCAGGCAGTTGTCCCTTGGGCTCTGAGGTCACGCTCCCAGGTCTCCAAGACCAACACTAATCTACCTTCCTTTTCAGGTTCCTCAAGAAACAACCTTCCACGGTGTGGGCAGCCGGGAAGTGACAACCGCCCTCATACCCGTAACAGCGCACGAGACCAAATTGGTAAAAATCAAATCCTTCAAGGAAAGTGAATAACTGGTACCATATTTTGGTTTGACTATCTCCTAGCTTTCTTCAAGCCTATTTTCGATACCAGATAGCATCGCCGATCGAGGTAGTCGGTTGTTGGGCATGCATAACACATATACTTACCACCTCATACCAACTGCTTTGAAGATACCTATGATTGAATACTAGTAACTGACTGACTGACTGACTAACCAATATCCTCTCTTTTGCATTGTCATGTTTTACGCCATTCTACGCAGTAAACGCATTCAGTGTTTAACAAACTAATTCCTCGCCTACGCCACAAGTGACGCAAGTTTGCTGAAGCCAATCGACATCAAACCATCAGGGCTGATGGCCATAATATCACTACATTTTTAAATAATCTTATTACTATTATTAGACTATCTATTTATCATTACTATCTTCAAAAAAAGGTAGTTCAAACTAACAGAAATTGTGACAAATCCGCCTTATATATGTATATATATGTACATACTACTAATAAATATCAAATAACTAACTTTTAGTAGTATTATCCGATAATTGAAGTTGATGCGATTCTTGATCAATCGAATGTAGAATTGTAGATAAATGTGAATTTTGTGTAGTGATTGTATTATTCGATGTAATTGTATCTAAAGGATAGGCACAATGATGATTAGTTGATAGTTTTTTTGTAAGATTCGGAGTAATTTTAGTAGAATTTTGTTCAGGTATTTCATGTTTCGGTGAATTAATCACCATGGTTGATTCCATTGTAGCCAGTGAATCCGACAGTCGAGCATTGACAGATTTCAAATGTTCATGTCTTGTTGTTAGACGAATTAATTTCGCTTCGAGTATATCATTTTCACATTTTAATTGATGTAAACAATCTAATAAGGTGACAACTAAAAATTCATGTAGAATAATAAGACAGAATATATATATATGAATTAATTAAGGTTATCTCGCAACAAAACTAACTCACCAAAAAACGTTAACAGGTAAAAAAAAACAATTCAAACCATTCATACTCTGCTCTGGGAATTAGGATGTAGGAAAAGGTTGAAAGAAAGCTAAGGCGAGCCAGACCAAAACATGGCACAAACTCATGAAGTCACTGACAACTGAACTGATTCTTGCTGGCAAATGTCGACTATCTGGTTGGGGCCAACGAGATGATAGCAATTGATGGTTAGAGACCTTGAATGACATAGCTCAAAACTGTTTGCAATGGAGCAGGTGCATCCACTCCTTGTGTTCTCTCAAATCCCAATCTTCGGAATGTGGTATGGCAACATGAACTAATGTATGCACGTACGTCCGAATTTCCACGTTGCTGTTGTTGATCGATTGAACTATATTAGATTAATCAGGATTATATTAAAAGTACGCATGGATTATTATGTGTGTTTTTTTACCTTTAAATATACATTATCGATCAGTGATGAGAGGTCAATGTTATGTTATGTTATATTAACCATAGCTCAGTGCAAAATGAATTATTATTGATCAAGTTTGAAATGTGATCACTAGGCCTACATGACTTGACATTGCATGATGCACTACGTTTCAATGTTGCGGGTGGGTGGTTGTTAGTGGCCAGCAAGAAAGACTTGGACTAAGGTTTCATGTTAATTGGAATATTTATTAGTAAGATAACCTTTGAGTTTTAGGCAATTGACTTTTGCTGTATGTAGGATTTGAAAACTCAAAATATTACAGTCTGAGGAGTAGCTATTGAGTTATTTACAGCGCAACTAGCCTTCTATGCAAATGATATATTTTTACCGATAGATTAGTAGTAGGGGCTAGACGAACATGGCATTAATTATAATTAATGGTCAGTCAATGTGAATGTCCCGATTGAAGTGGTAATAACCACTTAAGACTGAGTTCAGTTCAAATCCCACAGCAAAAATTAGTAGCCTCGAAAATTAAGAACATCCCTTCTTGATGAGTGCCAGGTAACGATCCCAGTTACCTGACAAATACTTCCAGCCATTAAATATTTTGTAGATGCAAAAGTGAACTTCTAGACAATATGCTTCTCTTATCAGTCAGTCAGTCAGTCAGTTACAATGTAGAACTTCGTACGTAAGTACATAAGTTCAGGTTGCCAAACCACATTAGCACACAGACTCAATTGTCAATTCAAATCTCATAGTGCTAGAGATAGCAGAAGTATTAGCAGTAATGGAGAGTATTACTCAGTGGTTAATAGGTTAGGCGTTCACACGTGAATCCGAATGTCCTGGGTTCGAGTCTCGCTCGCGAAGTTGTGGATGCAGATTGCTGATGCGTCCTATAACTGTGACGAAACGGCCGTCCAGTGCTTCGACGTTTTTTTCACGATAGTGAAAAATTAAATTTTTGATCATTTTATATCAATTGACTGACTACTTTTTAGACGACAATGTGTAAAGTATAGATTTTACTGAAAATCGTTTCATCTAAAATGTCGATGTCTTCCGAAATTCATCATTAGTGTAATAAAGGTTGTTATCCGATGGAACCAGTTTTTTACACTTCGCTTATCTCGGGAGTCTCATCAGTGCTGATGGCCTGGTGACTGACGAAATCTCAGCTCGGATACAGAAGGCCTGACTAGCTTTTGCTAACTTGAGTCACTTATGACCGGTAAGAGTTCAGGATATTACTGGTTTTTGATCGTAGGTGTCTTCGAAGTATTGCTTGTATATCCTGAGACAATCGAATAAGCAATGCAGTTGTTAATAAAAGAGTACTAGGTACGGATCGCGGATCAATAGATGAAGTAATGAAACTCCATACGTTGAGGTGGATTGGACATGAGTTACGTATGCCCGACCACCGATTACTTCGAGGAGCATTGTTTTGTGGTTTAGGAATAGGTCGGAAGAAAGCTAGAGGCGGCCAAACCAAAATATGGCACAAATCCATAAAGTCACTGACAAGTGGACTGAGTCATGTTGGTAGGTGTCGACTACCTGGTTTGGGCCCTCTACACGATAGTAATCGATGGTTAGGGACATGACATGGCTTAAAATTGTTTACACTGGCGCAAGTCCATCCACTCTTTGTGTTCTCTCCAATTGTAACCTTCTGAATTTCTCATCATCTCTATTTTTCTCTTTCTAAATTTATATCACTGAATTATACTTCTGGAATCATATATTTAAACTCTAATCTTCTTCATTACTGGCTAATACTTCCACTATCTCTACCACTATTAAATTTGAACTGACACTTGAGTCTCTATGCTAACGTGGTATGGTAACCTGAACTGATATACGTATGTACGTACAAAGTTCTGCATTGTATTTGTTTATTTGTCTGTCTGTCTATCTATAACTATGCATTTTCATAGGTGATACATATGTTTACATACGGAAAGAAATAATTAATTGAACAGAAAAAAAAACAGAAAACATACCATCTGTATTTTTAGCTTGTTGCATTAATAAAGCTCCAGCTTGATCCCATTGCCATTCTAATAAATCATGCATTGTAGCCAATGTAGGCGGTGGTGGTGGCGGTGGCGGTAGAATTGAATGATCAGATTTTGTTGAGACTGTAATTTTATTTGTAGGCTGTACCGATGAAGGTGAATCAACATACATTCCAGCGATATTATTTAAAATGGAACTATTTTTTGAATTACAAGTGATGCCTAAACCACGTAATGATAAAGGACGACGTGGAAGTATTAAAGGTAAATTTTCCTGAGTAGCGATAACAGGGATAGTGGAATTTTGAGATAATGTAATTGTACTAGTTACAGTTGAGCTATTGTTATTATTATTTGTTGTGATTGCTGTTATTGTTGTTGTTGATGATGATAATGATGATGAGGATGACGATGATGATGGAGATGCTGTATCAGTGAAATAAGTAAGGGGAATTAAAGTTAAAAAAAAATTAAAAACCAAAACTAATAAAAGTAAGGTTAACACATTTTTGTAAAGTCACTAACAACTGGGATATCAGTCAGTCAGTCAGTTGCAACGTAGAACTTCGTACGTATGTACATAAGTTCATGTTGCCATACCACAACATTAGCACAGAGACGCAAATGTCAAATCAAATCCCATAGTGATAAAGATAGTAGAGGTATTAATAGTAATGAAGAAGACTAGGGTTTGAAGATATTATTCAAGAAGTAGAATTCAGTGAGATAAGGTTAGAAAGACAAAGGTAGAGGTGCTGGCTAATCCAGAAGATTAGGAGTTGAGAGAGCTCAAAGAGTGGATGCACCTGCGCCATTGCAAACGATTCTGAGCCATGTCGTTCAAGGTCTCTAACCATTGGTGACTTTCGTCTCGCGGACCCCAACCAGGTAGTCTACATCTACCAACATGACTCAGTCCACTTGTCAGTGACTTCATGGATTTATGCCATGTTTTGGTCTGGCCGCCCCTAACTTTCTTCCAACCTACTCCTACACCACAAAACATCGCTTGACGAGGCAGTCGGTGGTTAGCTATACGTAACACATGTCCCAACCACCTCAACTGATGAAGTTTCACCACTTCATCTATTGATTTGCCATCCTTACCTAGTACTCGTTTCCTAACGACAGCATTGCTTACTCGGTTGTCCCACGATATACGAGCAATGCTTCTTAAACATCTATGATCGAATACCAGTAACCTACGAACATCTACTCTTAACGGCCATTTTTCGCATCCATATATGAGAATGAAGCGAACTGCTGTGCAGTACACCCGTCTTTTGATTAGCGAACGGATATCTCGCCTACGCCATAAGTGACGCAGGTTGGCAAAAGCCAGTCGAGCCTTCTGTATCCGAGCTGAGATTTGGTCAGTCACCAGAAACAACTGGGATGAGTCATGTTGGTAAGTGTAGACGATTGTACCCGATGATTAAAGACATTGAATGAAATGGTTAGAAATTGTTTGCAATAGCGCAGGTACACTCATTTGTCTTCTGTCAAATATTAATCTTCTGAATTCCTCATCACCTTTATCTTTCTCGTTTTATATTTATTTCACTGGATTATACTTCTTGAATAATTTCTTTGAATCTTAATCTTCTTTATTACCGCTAATTCTACCACTATGAGATTTGAAGTGAAAATTGCGTCTCTGTTCTAATGTAGTATAGCAACCTGAACTTACGTACATACGTATGAATATGTTTACGTTGTAACTGATTGACTGACTAACCTTTTGTGCGCATATAGTTATAAACAAAATTTATCGAAAATTTTCATATTTGGTGCATGTTTTTTTTTTGAATATATTTTAACACTAAGACTGTGAGATCTATTTATCTACTCTTAACTGTGTACGACTCACCACAGTTGGTGAGTTATAAGCAACGTTGAACTTGGTAAATCAACATTAGCAAAGCGAAATGAATACCAGAATTGTAATAATAGTAGTGGTAGTAATAAAGAATGCGGGCCCAGATTAGGCGTTCTTTCACAAGACCGGAAGTCTTCGATCCGATTCCTGCGAGTAGCGGGAGTCGTGAATGGGTACTGCTGATGATTCCTATAACAGGACGGAACGGCCGTCCAATGCTTCCAGGTTTCTAATGATGATCTAACAATGATAAACAACAATTCCCATAACTTTACAAAGAAAAAGAATGTATTTGGAATCTGGACGAATGAGCTTCTTCCAGACATATTTCAGTATAGTAGACGCCATAAAATTTTATTGATCATCTTTAAGTGAACAGTTTAGGCCACTGAGAAAATCATGACAGTTTTCATAGCTGCTTGATTGAATGCTATACCGAGTAACATTGGGGTAAACATCACTGTTATAATCAACTGAGTGCTTTTCTACTTGTTCCAGAAATATACTCATGATGTTTTTACGGCTTCATTATGAAGATTGTTTCTGTTGTAAACTTTTTGTGGTGAGTAAAACTCAGCCAAATACAGATTCATATTGAAGGATGATCATAGTCTAAACAAATGGTTCAAAATGTGGAGAATTATTTTATCGAGCCTCTCCAGAGATGACTAATGAGGACATATTCTATTTGTGTCCGGTTGTTTGAGTGTAGCTATAAATATATATATATATATATATATATATATATATATATATATATATATATGCTATCAAAGTTTAGTCACAAATGTATCTGTAACATTATTCTGACTTCATTGGGATATCACTTGGGAATTCAGAATATGATAGTGCTTTAGGTTACGGCGTAATTTACTACTTAATGAGTTTATTGAGGATCCGTTGGCCATATACCATCAGCAACAACCTGGTGTGGGAAGGAACAAACCATATTCCAGCGGAGGACGAAATCAGGAAGAAGCAGTGGAAGTGGATATGACACACGTTGCGGAAAGCACCCAACTGCGTCACAAGACAAGCACTCACTTGCAACTCTCAGGGTCAAGGGAAAAGAGGAAGACCAAGGAACACATTAGGCCGAGAAATGGAGACAGACATGAGAAGAATGGACAAAATTGGACAGGACTGAAAAGGGAAGCCTAGAACAGAGTAAGTTGGAGAATATTGGTCGGCGGCCTATGCTCCACTGAGATCTGGGATCTAGTTACCTGGATATTATTGTATATGGTTATAGACAATGATGACTGAATATCCACAGAGAGAGAGAAAGAGAGATGTGATTATCAAAATACAATGTTTAAATACTATAGAATAGTTTCTTTAGAAACCTTATAAATAACCGAATTTTAGTTACAATAACAATTCTATACTGCTTTACAGTTATAAAACGTGGACCTTGGAAGTAGAAGACATACGTGGGACGACTGAATAAAAAATGTTGAGGTTAGATATAGGGAACTATTGGGCCATAGTAGACAATCGGTTGATGAGGTTAGAAATCCTAGTCGACTAAGGTAGTTAGGACATTCACTACATATCCTCAATAGCCACCTACTGGTATAATAAGTTAGAAGCTCGAGAGCAAACCAATATATGGCAACAGTCCATTAAGTTACTGGGACTCGTAATGTACCGTGTAGATAAGTGCAGACTACCTTGGTTGGAGTCAGTGTGATAAACGTGATTGGTGGTTGAATATATACATTTTACCGGAAAAATAGTTTAATATCACCTAAGTATAAGATAAAAATATTAGCATTTATAGAGAAAATAGGGTTAAACGAGTTATCCAAGAGCTTAAGAGTTGTGTGGTACGTGATATGACTCCAATTCAAACGAACGACTGAATATGTGATGAAATAAATATTTGCTTCAATTTCAGTATATCATGTGCTTAGGTGAACCTTGTTTGTAAGTCGGCGGTAATAAGAAGCCAAATATGTGTTCAGTTGCATGAGTTTGCATTATGCAATCGGTTCATGCAGATAGACATGAGAATAAAAAGCGTGAATACAAAGCGAAGCGAAAATAGGCTAGACATATGACAAGCAAAGTAAAACACACAAATAAACAACCAAGATTATAATCGAATCACTGACAAGGTCAAAAGACGTGTAAATAGTAAGTCGAGCAGAAAAAGGTTAATGATTTTATCCAAAAGCTAGGACAGGTTATATGGGTTTACATATTGGTGCGCGCACTACAGGAGGAAAAGTACTCTGAGAATTGCATAGAATTGTTTCAAAGATGCTTGTTGTACGACATTTGTACTTAACTACCAAGGAAATTCTCGGAGTTCTAGTTGAGAGGACGTGACCAATGGAGTTCAACCCTGTCGGGTGTAGGCAGTAACTACCAAAGACAAATGGGTGAGGTCGCGCAAAATCCTTAGATCAATCAGAGTTAGACATTAACACCGTTGGATGCCGGCCCAGTGGTCCGACGGTAAGGCGTTCGCCTACAATGCCAAAGGTCCCGGGTTCGAATCCTGCGAGGAGCAGGAGTCGTGGATGCGCACTGCTGATGAGTCCCATACCAGGACGAAACGGCCGTCCAGTGCTTCCAGGTTTCTAATGGTGGTTTAACAATGATTGATTGATGATTTCAAAGGTGTAAAAAATCGCAAACCTCCAAAACTGTGCCCCAAGATATTATTATGATCAGTCAGTCTAAAAGGACTTATGATAGAATTTTAGAAGTATCAAGAACTCACTAAGAACTCGTTCTGTATTGATAGCTTCACTAATTTCATCTTTATTCAAATTTGCATCCATTTTGATTCGTTTAGCATTTGAACAATCGGTTGTTGTAAATTCTGAAGAATGAGACTCATTAGATAAATGATCTTTTTGTATTGTATAAGAATTTTGATGATTATTAAATTCGCTTTTACATTCCAACGTCGTAGCCTTCCCATCACTTTTAAAATCATCGTGAGAATTACTGCTTTCATCTGTTCTATTTGAATCTGAATTAAGTGATCGTTGAGAAAGACGTGACTGAGAAGATCGACGTCTAGGAGGTTGGATATTTACTTCACAAGACGATTCACTTGTAGGAGATTTATGGCTTTTGTTAATATCAGAGTTTCTACAAATGAACAGTAATGAAAGACGATTATAAATCAAAAAAGATTCATCAATTAAATGGAGGAAACAAAAAAACCTAAAGAGAAATTACACTAAATACTGTAAACGCAAAATTAGGCGGTGGATTTTGTAAAGCTTGGCAAAAAAATCAAACTAAAAATCTTTCATGATAGCCTTATGAAAGTTTATTTATCTTTTGAAAATGAGAATACGTGTATGTGTTGTGCAATCATTGACGCATAATTCATGAAAGACAGTATGACTGTGTTTAAGTGGTGTGATTAAATTTGGCTTTTGTATTAGCATATTCATAAGTAAACATTTATAAAAAGTTCCGAAAGGTTTTGTTTGCCTAAATCAATTATAACAAAGCCGTATCAAGAGTGTTTCATTGTTCCGAAAAGAAGCTATTGTCGTTTCTCCTTGCATCAAATCACTAAACACGGTGATAATTATTAAAGACCTTCCTTTTGTACTTCATGATGTCTTATATTTCTCAAACAGAGGGAGCTATCAACCTACGTTAAGAAAAGTTACCACACTGATAACTGGCTTGTGGAGGTCAAGCGTTCATAGCGATGTCGCTTTTTGATCCTTCGATGTCGGCTCTTCCTGTCATTGTGAAGCAGAATTCACCAAGCATTGGATTGTTCACCCATTAATAGGGAACGTGAGCTGGGTTTAGACCGTCGTGAGACAGGTTAGCTTTACCCTACTAATGAGTATTCAGTGAAGTGCAATCTGGCCATTGCTATGGTAATCCTGTTTAGTACGAGAGGAACAGTAGGTTCAGATAATTGATGTATGTTCCTGGTCGAAAGGCCGATGGTACGAAGCTACCATCTGACGGATTAAGACTGAACGCCTTTAAGTCTGAATCCCGTCCAAATTCACAACAGTCCATTCTTTAACCGACACGTAGTTCAGCTAGTTCACGTTTTCCTTTTGGTGTCTGGCGTAGACTATGTATTCGGCCAGGCCCATTAGGTCTGGTGTTATGCCAGAGCGATAACCATAAACCGTGCTCCGGATTTTAGGGTACGGGGGTCGACACAATATCTAATTGTGGTATGAGCTTGGGGATACTAAATCGTTTAAAAATTTAAGTACACTACTATTACTCATGCAAACCAACAGTAGGGTTAAGCATAGCTATCCAGTTTTGCCATCGATGGAATTCTAGATCAATATATCTGTCGCTCCGCCAAAATTTCCTGGATAACGTTCCAGAAACCGCACAACTTAACGGATTGATTTGTTACCATATATATATAGGACAAGTATAAGATCATTAATAATCTTACTTCTAATGTTACTATGTTTAAAAATGATATTTTCAAAAGAAAATCGATTTTTAATTATGTTCTAATTCAAACTGTACCAAAATGATTAATTTCATTTTTGATAAGACCACATGATTTATTCACATCACTGTTATTATTATATATATATATATATGCTGTGTGATACTTATATCTATCTGATAAGTTTTACGTAATTCATTAGAAATTTTCTTAACACAGAAAATCATACTACACTAATGAATATCAGTATAGATAAAAAGAAAATTCTTTTTTGCTTATATAGAAAGCAGTTCTATTTATTTTCAAGTTTCCTAACAGAAACCATAAAAAAAAACCCCAGAGAATAATGGTAGACAAGACATGTGTAGCTGCTGCTACTAGAGCATTGATCAGTCTTGTTAACATTGAAATTGTTTACAACGACAGTAATTCAAAAGTGAGCATTATTTCATATACACATGTTATTACAATTACAAAAACAATTTTTTTTTAAAAAAACACAAGTCTTTGACTATTTTTCTATGACAGTGAATAATATTCAGTCGCGGTTCTATATTTGTTATTGATTTCTAAATGAATAATTACAATGACTTCTTAAACTGCCTTTAAATGAAGCAGTTTATTTCATTAATAATATTTTATTCAAGCTAGAACAATTAACATAGCAGATTAACACATGAATACACTGTAGTTTACATTGGATACCTATATGCCAACCAAAAAAGTGATCAAATTTCACTCGAAATATCAACGATGGGATAATTCAAACGATTTTAAATAAACGTATATTTCGCAGTTTCTTGTCAGGTTCTTAAAACCTAAACATATGAACCATGAAATATCATTGTACATACTTTATATTATCACATATCGGGAAAGTACTCATCAGTGACGGTTAATGAGAACAGGAATAAGTATGGAATACAAAAGAGAGATGTTAGTTGGTGTAGAAAAGATTTAATTGTGGGCGGATGTCACTTCTCAGCTGCCAACACCGTGGAAGGGTGTTTCAAGAGGAAACTGAAAAGAAAGGTACATTAGTGTCGGTCTTAGAGACCTAGGAACGTGACCACAGAGCCCAAGGGACAACTGCTTCAGGCCGGTCACGCACGGCCTTTGTATGAGAAGTTTCTAAAGTGTTAGTTCTGCTTTTGTTTAAAAGATATTACCACCGGAGACGCGAATCCGTGAGGTAAGGTGGGGTGTGACATTTTTGGAATCGACCTTTTCTAACCGCTTCCTTCTTTGTGAAAAGGCAGCATTGCAGCATATGCTGGTTGTCCAAGGGAAACACATTACTGCTGTCACACCCTTCTACAGTCAGTAGTACGACTTCGCCGTCAGACCATGAAGTCATTGACAAGTGAACTGAGTCATGTTCGTAAATGTACAAAACCTGGTTAGGATCCGTGAGACGAAAGTCACCGATGGTTAGAGACCTTGAATGACATGGTTCAAAATCGTTTGCAATGGTGCCGGTGCATTTATTCTTTGTGCTCTCTTAAATCCTAATCTTCTGGATTCTTCAACACCTCTACCTTTGTCTTCTCTAACCTTATCTCACTGAATCATACTTCTTGAAAAATATCTTCAAACCCTAATCTTCTTCATTACCGCTCATACTTTTACTACCTCTACCACTATTGGATTTGAACTGACAGTTGCGTCTCTGTGCTAATGCCATATAGCAACCTGAACTTATGTACTCATGAACGAAGTTATTCGTAGTAACTGACTGACTGATGGAATACAAAAATATTCTAGAATACAAATGAGGAGTATAGAAATATAATCATTTAGAAAAATAACTTTCATGTTATAGTTATGTAATATTTCAAACAAAAAAATGACACTGAGTACAAATCCGATAAGAAGTGAGGAATTATTAATGGTTATTTATGGAATGAAGAAATGAGTAAGAAAACATTCATGAAATAAATCAATACGGCAAAGAAAAATCGATAACTGAGTCTTTTTAAATGCGGACATTTGACATTTTTTGTTCATAAATTATATTTAAGACACCTAAACTATGGTCACTGTCAAACAGATGGCAAGTAATCACACTGTTGAAAACGTTGTTGTCCTCTTATTCTAAGCTTCTGTAGAATGTACTCGAACTTGTAAACTCCTTTCTGTTTATTTGATGCATGAGATTTGGCATGTGTATGTAAACTGGTGAAAAAAACAATTGTAGGTAACGTAAGACAGGAATTTGTCTACATATGACTGTCCTAACGAACAGTGAGTTTGATATAGAAAGATCAACATCGCAGCACAATACATTTTTTTATTATGACCTTCAGCATGAGTTCAGTTGTCCCAGATAAATTATCACCCTTGAAGCTAGGTCTTAGGAAGGCAGGTTTCTTTTCAAGTAAAGCATACTACATCTCCTTGGCTTTAATCTCCCTATTCTTACTTATTAATTTTTGAGCGTTCTCCTTATTACCCTGTAAACAACATTCAACTCTGAACATAATTCCTCTAACACAACTGAAAAGCATTCTAACCAAGACTACTTTTTTTTTAGCTTGTTAGATAGAAGCTACTGAAGTTCAAGCATAATTCATGCTTATAAACCATTTTCATAAATCTACACTGATGGAAATTTTCCGATATGCAGTATGTAAGCTGAGATTTGTAATGATTAATAAATACCATTATGGCTAGATTTTAAGCAACGGAAAGAAACTGTTACATATAATGAATTCATGTTAAACTATACTATGCTAATTGTTCTTGTTTTACTTGAAGTTATTTATTACCTCACAAGTAAATTATCTTGAAAAAAAAGTTTCAATGTCTATAGTAATTTATTCTGTCATCAAAAAAATACAACAAATGAATAAGAATGTCAGTCAGTCAGCTACAACGTAGAACTTTGTAGATGAGTGTATAAAGTTCATGTTGCCATACCCCATCAGCACAGAGACGCAACTGTCAGTTCAACTCCCATAGTGGTAGAGATAGTAGAAGTATTAGCAGTAATTAAAAAAGATTCCAGTTCAAAGAAATGATTCAGTAGGTATAATTCAGTGAGATAAAGCTGATGAAGAATTCAGATCACAATTTGAGAAAACACAAACAGTGGATACATCTGCGCCATTGCACCTGAGCCATGCCATTCAAAGTCTGTAGCCATCGGTTACTTTCGTTTCGCAGACTCCAACCAGGTAGCCTATATCTACCAGCATGACTTAGTCCACTCATAATGAATGTAATGAATAGCTAAATTTCTCCAATTACACTGGCTATCAGACCACTGGTGCTCATAATTTTCCGACACCAAAAAACTGAATACAATCAAGAAGAAGTATGGATAGACAACGTTTACTAGTGGATTGATTGCGCAAGTCCTTTTTTTTCTATTTCTTGTATCATAAACAGTAAACAACAACAGTAAAGTTCTAAATCATCATTTCACGTTTGCAAAATTTTTAGCTCGTATAAATTTTTCTTTATAAGAGTTAAGTTAATATTGATTCATACTGAATGACGTCTTAACTATTTTTTTCTGTTTAGTAAGAAAACAGTGTACTGTATGCATAGACATTATAAAAAAATCATTTCTTTTCAAAAAAATCAGTAGTATATGATAAGCTAGCTAGCTTATCAGGAGTATATATATATATATATATATATATACGCTTACCCGTGAGCAATACCAGGAACTGAGGTCGAATTAGAAGTTTCAGACATAAATTTCTGTAAGTCAAAAAAAGAAACAATTATAAAAAGAGAAAAACAAATTTCTTTCCTTCATGTAAAATGATGAATAAAGAAGTGACACATTTTTGAAACAATGAATCGATCAGTGTTAGACCACCATTAGAAGAAACCTGGAAGAACTGATAGACAGCCGTTTCGTCCTGTTGTATGGGACTCATCAGTGTCATTGCGCATCCACGACTCTTGCGCTTCGCAGGACTCGAACCCGGAACCTTCGGTATTGTGCGCGAACGCCCAACCTCTGGACCACTGAGCCGGGTTCGAATCCTGCGAGGTGCAGGAGTAGTGGATGCGCACTGCCACTGATGAGTCCCATACAACAGGACGAAACGGCTGTCTATCAGTGCTTCCAGGTTTCTAATGGTGGATGCGAAACATGGCCGTTAAGAGTAGTGGACATTCGTAGGTTACTAGTCTTCGATCGTAGGTGTATCCGAAGCATTGCTCGTGTATCCTAGGACGACCGAGTAAGCAATGCTATCGTTAAGAAACGAGTTCTAGGTAAAGATAGCAAATCAATAGACGAAGCATTGAAACTTCATCAGTTGAGGTGGTTGGGACATGTGTTGCGTATGCCTAACCACCGATTACCTTGACGAACTATGCTTTGTAGTGTAGGAGTAGGTTGGAAGAAAGTTAGGGGCGGCCAGACCAAAACATGGCAGAAATACCCGTAATGGTGGTCTAACACTGATCGATTCATTGTTTCAAAAATGTGTAACTTAACAATCTTCACAACCCCGTAATGTGAATAAAGAAGTAACGAAAAATTTAGTTTCATTTATGAGCATAAAACTAGATCACTGAATTTCTCACATTTCATTATCAATCTATCTCTTGTTTGGCAAAAAAAAAATTTACTTAACTGTTTTACGATATGATTATGTGAATAAATTTAATTGTACTATTTTTTTTTTAAAGACAATAAGACATTTTATGTAACATTGAAATCTTTGTCAACACTATTAACATATCTACCATATTCTAAGGATTTGTCAGTCAGTCAGTCAGATGCAACGTAGAACTTCGTACACAAGTACATCAGTTCATGTTGCCATACCACATCAGCACAGAGATGTAATTGTCAATTCAAATCCAATAGTAGAAGAGGTAGAAAGGGAATTAGAAGTAATCGGAGAGGTTAGGGTTAGAAGATACTATTCAATAAGTATGATTCAGTGAGAAAAGTTTAGAGAGTCGAAACTAGAGGTGTTGAGGAATCCAGAAGATTAGCATTTGAGAGAACACAAAGAATAAATGCACCGGCGCCATTGCGAACGATTTTGAGCCATGTCATTCAAGGTCTCTAACCATCGATTATTATCATCTCGCGGACCCCAACCAGGTAGTCGACAATTACCGACATGGCTCAGTCCACTAGTCAATGACTTCATGGATTTCTGCCATGTTTCGGTCTGGCCGCCCCTATCTTTCTTCCAACCTACTCCTACACTACAAAACAAAGTTCGTCGAAGCAGTCGGTGGTTCGGCATACGCAACACATGTCCCAACCACCTCAAGGATTTGATATTACATTATATGAACATAGTAGATTTTAACACAGAAGGGAATAGTATAATTTTTTGTAAAAGTTCAATCAATCAATCAATCAAGATACCTTCATATGCTGTGAACAACAAAAACCATTCAATTGATATTTATGAGATTCTTTTTCACAACTTTGATTTATATCTTTAGATATTTCGGTAAAATCACTTAAAGTGTTATTTTTATCAATTGTTCCAAATAATATTTCAGCAATTGATAAAGATGCATTTGCTTCACCAGCGGGTAATTCACTAAGTAAACCTTCTGCACCAGCACTAGAACAAAAAAAAAGTTTGGAAAAAATTAATGAACTGGAATGTAAGAGTCAATTCAACAACAACATAGAACTTCGTACGTATATATACATCAGTTTAAGTTTCCATAGCATATTAGCATAAAGATGCAACTGTCACTGCAAATCCAGTAATAATAGTAGAGTTAGTGAAAGTATTAACAGTAATCGGAAATATTAAGGTTCAAAGAACTTAGTAAAATAATCTTAAGAGAAAAAGATAAAGGTAATGAGGAATTCAGAAGGTTACAATTGGAGAGAACACAAAGAATAAATGCACCGGCGCCATTGCAAACGGTTTAGAGCCATGTCATTCAAGGTCTCTAACCATTAATTGCTATCATCTTGCGGGTTCCAACCAGGTAGTCGACACGTACCAACATGACTCAGTCCACTTGTCAGTGACTTTACGGATTTGTGCCATATTTTGGTTTGGCCGCCCCTAGCTTTCTTCCGACCTACTCCTACACCACAAAACAATGCTCGTCGAGGTAATCGGTGGTTGGGCAGTCGTAACACATGTCCCAACCACCTCAACTGATGAAGTTTCAATATTTCTTCTGTTGACCTATCATTCCTGCCTAGTACTCGTTTCCTAGCGATAGAATTGCTTACTCAGTTGTCTCAGGATGTACGAACAATGCTTCAAAGACACCTAAGATCAAAAACCAGTAACCTACGAATATCTTCTACTCTGCCTGGACATGTTTCGCAGCCATAAAGTAGGACGGAGCGAACTGCTGCGCTGAATGTAAGAAATGAAATATGTACATGTTTTGACTGTTACGTTCATAGATAATAAAGAATGACAAAATCAATGATTAGTTTGAGATTAACATGTCTGACTGACAGAGTAAGCAATATTATTTTAAATTTCTTTTAGAGGTATATAATGCAATGAAGGCTAATCATCAACAGCTTATTTCTAGCAAACACCAAATTTAAGAGTAAGGAGCATCTTTTAACATGGCGACCATCAAAATCGACTCAACGCTGGACTCAAATCGACTACTTTGCCATTAGCCATCGATGGATAGGCTTGATAGAAGACCGCCACTCATTCTGAAGCACATGTTTAGATTCAGATTATGCCCTAGTGCAAGCACGTATTTGTTTGCAACTTACCGGACGGTAGGAAAGCCACCGCAAAAAAATCCTCTAGGGTTCTACTTAGAGATAGAAAAGCCGAGAGTGCATTTCAGGCGCAACTAGAAAAGCAGTTAGTCAAGCACGTAAATGATGCCCGCCCCGAAGCAACTTGGAATAATATCCATAACGCTATGGAAACAGCAATGATATCTGACAATACGTTAAACCGAAATGGTAGGAAAAACCTATGGATTCCAGTGCCATCTACTGCACTGAGAGAAGCTCAGAAACTCATCCTGTCTAGTTCTGAACACAATTAGAGACAGCTGAAACGTGCGCTGATAAAAAAACTTACGCAATGATCGTGAGCAATTGTGGATGTCGAAAGCAAAGAAGATGGAAAAGTAGCAGCGATAGGTAATATTAGACAACTATTTAGACTTATCAAGGGAACATGTATAAGAAATCCGACTGTTAGCAAGACTCTATAAGAAAAAGATGAGATTACCGTTCATTCTGAGTCCAGGTGATTGAAACGATGGGTCGAACTTTTTAGGGAGCAGTTCAACTGGTCTTTAACCACGAATCCCCCGACCGAAGCTGCTACCTTGACGTGGTGGTCGGGCTTGCCTATCGTGATGACCCAACCGAGCTATACTGGCTGGAACATATGTTCCAGAAGGTTCTACCATGCCAGGCAGGTCGATTGGAGAACGATGAGACTAAAAGCAGCTACCTAAGGTCTGAGGGCGAAGTCGTACTGCTGACTGTGATTGAGGGGTGTGACAGCAGTAAGGTGTTTCCCTCGGACAACCAGCATCTGCAGCGATGCTGCCTTCTCACAAGGAAGGAAGGGTTAGAAAAGGTTGACCCTAAAAATGTCACACCTCCCCCTACCTCACGGTATTCCGTCTCCTTGGGTAAGGGTGCCCACTAAGGGCCTTTAAGAGCGGAGCTAATACTAAAAGAAACCTTTCATAAAAGGGCCGTGCGTGACCGGCCTCAAGCAGTTGTCCCCTGGGCTCTGCGGTCACGCACCAACACTAATCCATCTTCCTTTTCAGGTTCGTCAAGAAACAACCTTCCACGGTGTGGGCAGCCGGGAAGTGACAACCGCCCTCAAATCCTTCCTACATTCCCTAATACCTCTCTTATCTCCACAACTAACTCTTTTCACATTCATTTATTACAGTGCACAGCTAATGCAAACGATGCGAGTTTGCGAAACGTCGTTCCTGGTCTCCTTAAACCCCGTTCCAAACTACATGTTGGAGCATTCAATGTACGGACATTGTGTCAAATAGGGCAACAGGCATCATTAGCTAGGACTTTAGAATCTCGTTCCATCGATGTGTGCTGCGTCTCGGAAACGCGCATACAGGATCCGAGTAGCATCACTCATTTGACCTCACCATGTCAAGATAAAGAAGCAGCTCGATTTACCCTTCGTGTATCCGGTAGCCCTGATGCTGCTTCTAGGGGCCTCGCCGGTGTAGGTATAGCATTGAGTCGTAGGGCAGAACAATCTCTCCTTGACTGGATCCCTGTAGATAGTCGCTTGTGCGCCGTCCGACTGAACGGGACAGTAAGGACTCGGAAAGATAGGGACACTCGCCGTTGCCTCTTCGTCATATCAGCCTACGCCCCCACTGACTGCAGCCCAGATGATGTAAAAGATGAGTTTTACAGAAAGCTTTCGGACCTCCTCCAAAAAGTTAAGCGCTCTGATATAGTTATAATGGCTGGTGACTTCAATGCACAAGTAGGTAGACTAAGTGAAAATGAAAGACACCTAGGTGGATGTTACGGTCTCGCGGCTCAAAGAACAGACAATGGCGACCGTCTGTTGCAACTGTGCTCAGATAACCAACTATTTCTAGCAAACACTAATTTTAAGCATAAAGAAAAACACCTTTTGACCTGGCGACCCCCGAAGTCGTCTCAACGTTGGACACAACTAGATCATATCGCCATCAGCCACCGATGGAGGGGTTCGATAGAGGACTGTCGCTCGTTCTGGGGCACATGTTTAGATTCAGATCATGCCCTAGTGCGAGCACGTATTTGTTTGAGGCTTGCTGGACGTAGGAAAGACACCGTAAGCAAGCCTCTTAGGGCTTCACTTGATGATAATCAAGCTAAGAAAATATTTCAGGAGGAACTAGAAAAACAGTTAGGCGGCCATGCAAGTGATTCCCATCCTGAAGCAGGTTGGAATCATATCAAGAAGGCTGTGGAAACAGCAATGGTATCTGCTAGCAAGGTAAACCACAAGGCTAAGATGAAGCCGTGGATATCAGTCGCATCCACCGAACTGATGGATGCTCGAAAACGCATCCCACCTGACTCTGAACATGATGAAGAGCGTAGTCAGCTTAGGCGCAGACTTATAAAAAGCCTACGTAACGACCGTGAACAGTGGTGGGTGGCGAAAGCAAAAGCGATGGAAAAGGCAGCGGCGATAGGCAACACTAGACAACTTTTCCGCCTTATTAAAGAAACCGGTATTAGGAACCCGAATGTGAGTGAGACTATCTCGGAAAAGGATGGTCTTATTATCCATTCTCAATCTAGGAGGCTGGACCGATGGGCAGAACACTTTAGGGATCAGTTCAACTGGCCTTCAGCCACACTTCGGTTGCCCACGATCTCCAGTCATCCTGAATGGCAAATCGATTTAAGTCCTCCCAGTTTACATGAAGTTGAGAAAGCTATAGGAAATCTAAGGGGAGGTAGAGCGGCAGGTCCCGACAGGCTTACCCCTGAGATGTTTAAGTATGGTGGTCCAATTTTAACGGTTAGACTGACCGAGATCCTAGGTAGAATCTGGGAAATGGACGTAATCCCATCTGACTGGTCTCAGTCGCTAATTGTCCCAATCTACAAGAAAGGACAGAAGTCCTCTTGTGACAATCACAGGGGAATAAGTTTAACTAATATAGTTTCTAAATTGTTAGCCTCGATTATACTTAGACGTCTAACTAGAGCTCGTGAAGAGCAGACTCGAGAAAACCAGTCTGGTTTTCGACCTGGACGTGGTTGTATAGACCACATCTTCACACTACGACAGGTCCTGGAACACAGACACACATTTAGACGTCCGACGATAGTCGTGTTCCTGGACCTTAAGGCGGCATTCGACTCAGTGGATCGTGAGGTTCTGTGGCAGTGTCTGTCATTGAAAGGTGTACCAAAGAAGTACATTAACCTTATACAAGCTCTCTACTCGAACACCACTGGTCGGGTGAGAGCATATGGCGAACTGTCATCTGAATTCTCTACATCAAGTGGTGTCCGTCAGGGCTGTCCACTCTCTCCATTCTTGTTTAACTTTGTCGTAGACATCCTCTTAGAGTTAACATTAAGCTCGTCAGATTTTTCAGGGGTTGACCTTCTACCAGGAAAGCCGCTTACTGATCTAGAATATGCCGATGACATAGTTCTATTCGGTGAAGACGCTGACAAAATGCAGAGTCTTCTGACTACCATAAGCAACAATGCGAGCATGTTCGGGATGCGGTTTTCCCCCTCGAAATGCAAAATGTTGCTTCAAGACTGGGTTGCATTGGCACCTGAACTAGTGATAGGGAGTGAAGTAGTCGAGCGTGTTGATCACTTCACTTATCTGGGGAGTCTCATCAGTGCTGACGGTCTGGTGACTGACGAAATCTCAGCTCGGATACAGAAAGCTCGATTGGCTTTTGCCAACCTGCGTCACTTATGGCGTAGGCGTGATATCCGTTCGCTAACCAAAGGGCGGGTGTACTGCGCAGCAGTTCGTTCCGTTCTCTTATATGGCTGTGAAACATGGCCGTTAAGAGTAGAAGATGTTCGTAGGTTACTAGTATTCGATCATAGATGTTTAAGAAGCATTGCTCGTATATCGTGGGACAACCGAGTAAGCAATGCTGTCGTTAGGAAACGAGTACTAGGTAAGGATGGCAGATCAATAGATGAAGTGGTGAAACTTCATCAGTTGAGGTGGTTGGGACATGTGTTACGTATGGCTAACCACCGACTGCCCCGACGAGCTATGTTTTGTGGTGTAGGAGTAGGTTGGAAGAAAGTTAGGGGCGGCCAGACCAAAACATGGCAGAAATCCATGAAGTCACTGACAAGTGGACTGAGTCATGTTGGTAGATGTAGACTACCTGGTTGGGGTCCGCGAGACGAAAGTCATCAATGGTTAGAGACCTTGAACGACATGGCTCAAAATCGTTTGCAATGGCGCAGGTGCATCCACTCTTTGAGCTCTCTCAAATCCTAATCTTCTGGATTCGTCAATACCTCTGCCTTTGTCTTTATAATCTTATCTCACTGAATTATATTTTTTGAATAATATCTTCGAACTCTAGTCTTCTTTATTAACATTAATACCTCTACTATCTTTATCACTATGGGATTTGATTTGACATTTGCGTCTCTGTGCTAATAATGTGGTATGGCAACATGAACTTATGTACATACGTACGAAGTTCTACGTTGCAACTGACTGACTGACTGACTAACCACGAATCCGTTACTCACCATTTCCAGTCAACCTAAATGGCGAATCGATGTAAGTTCTCCGACTCTGAACAAAGTTAAAAAGGCTATAGGATATCTGAAACGAGGGAGAGCAGAAGACCCTAAAAGGCCTACCCTTAAGAATTTCAAGGATGGTTGTCTGTTGATAGTGAGGTTATATGGCAGTGTCTGTCATCGAAAGGTGTACTAAAGAAGTATATTACCTTGTACACGCTTCCTAGTCGAATGCTAATGATCGAATCAGAGCTTATTGCGAACTGTCACTGGAAATGATTACTCCAAGTATGTTCGTTAGGGTCGTTCGTCCACTATCTCCATTCTTATTCAACTTTGTCATTGACATCAGTCGGTCAGTTACGCCGTAGAACTTTGTACACACGTACATCAGTTTAAGCTGCCATACCACATTAGAAAAGAGATGCAATTATAAATTCAAATCCCATAATGGTAGGGGTAGTAGAAGTATTACTGGTAATGGAGAAGATTAGGGTTCGAAGATATTATTCAAGAAGTATGATTCAGTGAGAAAAGTTTAGAAAGAGACAGATGGAGATGATTAGGAATTCAAAAGATTAGAATTTGAGGGAACGTAAAGAGTGGTTGCAACTGCATCATTGAAAGTGATTTTGAGCCATGTTGTTCAAGGTCTCTAACCATCGGTTACTTTCGTCTCGCGGACACCAACCAGGTAGTCGACACCTACCAACATGACTCAGTCCAGTTGTCAGTGGCTTCATGGATTTGTGTCGCGTTTTGGTAGCTTTCTTCCAACCTACTCCTACACCACAAAATATAGCTTTGTCATCGACATGCTCTTAGAGAAGACACTTTCATCGTTTGATTTTTCATGGGTTGATTTGCTACCAGGAGATTTACTTGTTGACTTAAAATATGCAGATGATATATGCAGATGCAGAGTCTTCTGAACACCTTAATCAATGATGGTGAATATTTGGGATGTGATTCTTTCCCTCCAAATGCAAAATGTTGCTTTGGGATTGACTTGCATTAGCACCGAAATTAATAAAAGGTAGTGAGGTAGTTAAACTTCTCGATCTCTTCGTTTGTTGTGAATGTATCATTTCTTGATCCACTGTTTTCTAACGAAATCTCGGCACGGATAGAGAACGTTCGATTGCCTTCAGTAAACTGGTGTAAGTGAGATATCCTCCGTCTGCTAACGAAAGGACAAGTTTACTGCACGGCAGTTCGCGCCGTTCTACTTTAAGGGTGTGAAACATGGTCATTAGATGTTTGTAGGTTACCAGTATTTGACCACAAATTTTCTTTGAAGCACTGTTGGAGTATTTCGGGACCACTACGTAACAAACACGTGAGTTAGGAATAGGCTAATAGATAAGGATGGAAAATCGATTATGAGATATGTTATGTATTCTCAACCTCCGTCTACCTCAACCAGCTATGTCATCTGTGTAGGAGTAGGTATAAAGAAAGCTAGGGACTGCCAAACCAAAACTTGGCACCAGTCCACGAAGGTATTGACAATTGGAATGAGCCATGTTAATCGGTAAAGACTATCTGTTTGGAGTTTGCGTGACAAGCGTAACTGATGGTTAGATACCTTGAATTACATATCTTAATATCGTCTACAATGGTACATGCAAATGTATGCTGTCTTCTCCAAATTTTTAAACTTCAGAATTTCCCACTACTCTTTCATTTTTAAATTTATTTCATTGGTTTGTGTTCTCTGAATTTCATATTCGATCGCTAATTTTTTTTTCCATTACCAATAATAGTGTTACTAATTCTATAACTCTGGGATTTGGCCTGAAAATTTCACCTTTCTGTGTTTAAGTGGTCTGACAACCTTAACTGATGTACGTACGTACCAAGTTCTGCGTTGTAAATGACTGACTAATCTTTGTTGATTCATTAACCTAATTCTCCAGAAAGTGGTGTTATGATTACAGTGCACAACTAGTGAATGAGTGATTATGTCACTGAATTAGTTTGCAAATAATTCGATAATAACCATAGAATAAATAACTGGCTTTGCAGGCAACTATGTCGGGTCAATCAGTAATGAGAAACGGAAGTTCAACTACCCGATTATTAATTCCCATGATGTAAGTTGTCATAGTTGTGAGTTATGGGTGATGGATGACCGAAATAATACACATGGTAAAAACCGGTCAGTAATCAATTAAATTTCAGGTTTCAGATCATCTCATGATTTGTAAATGTACCAAAGCAGAGGATTTAATTAGTTAGCTCTGGCTCAGTTATGAACAAACACAGATCTAGATTTACACAAAGAAAGAAATCATTATTCTAACATTTTATGCAGTAAAAGAATAAGTATGCATTAAGAGAGATTAAAATTATCAGTCATTGATAGATAAGGAGATTGGATTTAGCAGAAGTACCAAAAAAGATATGATTTTTAAAGACTGTCAAAAAATTAGTGAATTAACGACAAATAGCTTCCATAGATTAGTTTAGCTGCCGGTGAAAAATAAAGAGTAAATAAAATCACATATGAAACTAAACATATACTCAAGTAAGAAAAAGATCACTTACCAAGAAACGTGAAAGTGTAAACGGCAATTTTTCCAAGCACACTGAATACAAGCTCCGTAGTTCGCTAGAGAACTTCGCTGATTTCGTTCGCAAAATATACACGACTTAAAAATATCAAAATTAGAGGGGAATGTTAACAACAATTACTATTTATGAAGAGTACGCATAGAGATTAAGTGGTCACTTAAAATGTATTCCCAACCTGGACTCCTTGAGATAAAAAGAGGGGAACTAATGGACACGCGCAGGGAATCATAGACAGACATTCAAATAGTGTTACGTTGTAAAGAACGAAACATTCCAAACCTTATTTTAGAATATACTAGCAGGCTGCTTCTATTAGAGTTTACTATTGAAGGGACATGAGAACAGCAGTTCAATGGTTAATACCATAAAGTTTGCATTACCGAGCAGTAACACTATTCATAAAATTTTCTGGTTCACCTTAGTCATACTTTTTACATTTGGAGATGAAATGATTTGGTGGATTTCTCCTCATAACGGGGCATATCGAATCGCTTGGATATAGAATAGGGCCAGACTACTTCTGACTGAACGTTAAGAAATGCTAGCATTATCACATAAATATACATGGAAAGCGGGAGTCCTATCAAAGTTTCTTTCGCTTTCATGTTTTTAGAAAGCGGTAGCTAGTACTGAGTAGATTTACTTTTTCATAAAATGTTTTAGCAGGAATGGGTTTTGAAAGAATATCTCAAACTACTATGGTGACCGGAAACAAATTGAACTAATAGCCAGAAACAATTTCTACGGTCGATTGGAAGTAGTTCAAACAATTCCAACATATTTATAAAGTTACACAGTGTGAAGAACCTCTACTTTTTCAATATCAAACATTCGCCAAGAATGTTTAGTTTATATTAGGCTACTCGTCAGTAATATGTACAGATCTATCACTTTTTAAATTTACTGACTGCCCTATTATCATATTAGACAAGCAAAGGTATGATGGAACAATCTCGAATTAGGAGCTTCCAATTTGTACACACTCGAAAACACTTGAAAAGATGGTATCGGAGCAATTCGTTTCGCTGATAATTGCAGAACATTTTCGTTAGTTACCAATTTTTCGGTGGATTTTTGTGAAGCCATTAATTTGAGTTTGGATTTCAAAGTAACTATACAGAAAATCTGCTTTTGTATATCATTACATTCAAAAAAATACTTTTTTCAATGACTAGTCCGAATTCTCGAAACGGCAGAGTATAAATAATTAGCAACCAAAACACAACACTACTTATGAGAATATCAAGTAATGAATCACCACATTACAAAAATTCTGATGTTTACTAATACATAACCAAACACTATGAACTTTAACACAATTTCATTCATTCATATGAGTCAACATGTGAGCAGATTTGAGTTAACAAAATCAAGAATTCAGACCAAAAGAGCGGATTTAAAACATAACTTACTCGACCAAGCCTATCAGGCATGACGTTTTCGACTGATATCAGCTCCATAGTGTTAAGGTCGGTGAAAAATACTTCAGGTATATAAATTGCACAGACGATGTGGGCCCAACCTTTCCTGTAATACATTCTAAATGCAGTCTAATCTTACCACATCGAACGCCATTACTACGTTTAAACGCACCATCCTTAATTGGGCACAAATCGCAACGCTAGTTATAAGTTTACATGTAAGTATATCTTACGATTTTGCTCATGCGAACTTGCGACTCGCATTTCCTACAAAACCAGTTGTTTACACCAGTTAATTTTGGTACACCATAACATCCTTGATGTACAGTTGTATTACAGTTTCCACAACAAATCAGGGAATTCGATGCACCTTGGAACTTTAAATTACAAACACAACACTTCTCATTCATCAGCGAAGAATTTGAAATTCGTTCTCCATCACGTCCTTGAGAAGTGGAGCAAATTTAGTAGAGTTGTAGGTAATTTGCATGGTTTCAAACGTTACTTTCATCCAAGCTCTCATGATCTCTTGCAGTCCTAACTACAAATCTACACGTGTCCGTTATTCTTTTTAACTAATAAGCTACAGACGTGATAATATACAGACAATGGGTGTGTAGGATCAGAAAAGTGTACCTGGACCGAAGCCGAATCGTCCATCAAGGTTGATCTTCTCCAACTTACAAAACCAATTAATGGATGTTAAAAAATTTACTGACTGTCAATAGGGCCAAAGACAACAAACGAAGATTGATATAGGATTCTCGGAAGTCATAAGTGAGGACTTGTTGCTCCTCGCAATATGGTATGTGTCAAGGTTCATCTCCCCATAGATCCAATCGGAGCCCCTCAGTGTTTGGCTATATTTGATGTTACAGGTGCAGGAACCTTTGTTCGTCTACATCGGAGCCCTGATTTCTCAATTATAGTTGCTGGTTACCCCTCAGAATGTGGCAGTTCGTGGTTTGGAAATAACTCAAACTTACTTCCACTAATTTTTTGTCCAGGTTTTAACTGATTCGGAATCTTAAATACATTAGTTTTCAGGCATCGAATCCAGTTGTGTTTATAAACGAGCACGTTATTCCTCCGTTTTAATCCCTTACAGTTGAATTCAATCTTATCTGGCTCACGACCGTAGCTGCTACATTGACGTGGTGGTCTGGCTTGCCTATCGTGATGACCCAACCGAGCTATACTGGCTGGAACACATGTTCCAGAAGGTTCTACCATGCCGGGCAGGTCGATTGGAGAACGATGAGACTAAAAGCAGCTACCTAAGGTCTGAGGGCGAAGTCGTACTGCTGACTGTGATGGAGGGGTGTGACAGCAGTAAGGTGTTTCCCTCGGACAACCAGCATCTGCAGCGATGCTGCCTTCCCACAAGGAAGGAAGGGTTAGAAAAGGTCGGCCCTAAAAATGTCACACCTCCCCTAACTCACGGATTTCCGTCCCCTTGGGTAAGGGTGCCCACTAAGGGCCTTTAAGAACGGAGCTAATCCTCAAAAAACATTTCATAAAAAGGCCGTGTGTGACCGGCCTCAAGCAGTTGTCCCTTGGGCTCTGAGGTCACCTCCCAGGTCTCCAAGACCAACACTAATCTACCTTCCTTTTTAGGTTCCTCCAGAAACACCCTTTTACGGTGCGGGAAGCCGGGAAGTGACAACCGCCCTCATACCCGTAACAGCACGCGAGACCAAGTTGGTCGAAATCAAATCCTTCCTACAACCACACATACCTCCCTTTTAGGACTTTGGAATCTCGTGCCATCGATGTGTGCTGCATCTCGTTTCTGCCTATGCCCCTGTAGTGCCTCCACATTTATTTGCATCCGCTTACATTTAATTTGCCTAAGCACTTTCGGTTAATTTATTTAACCAAACCATTTGTATAGCAACAACTCATATGTACCATTGGTATTTTTTATTATCTGGTTTGTATGAGCTTGTACGACTGAGCATTGCTTACGCCTACGCGCTTACTCATCCTTTTCGCTTTAATTTTAATCTCTTAATATCCCCATGAACTCACATGACTTGTATCGCCTGCTTTTGACCTTGTTAATCATTCGTCGCTTTTATTCATGTGTGTGCACGCCTATTTTGCTTGTCATATGTCTGTCTTATTTATGCCTGACTATATATTCTTAGTCATACTCTATCTCTTTGAGTTGGCTCTTAGCCTTCTCCAATTCGCTTCGCCCATTCGATCGCATTGTAATTCGAAGAGTTGGCTCTTAGCCTTCTCCAATCGGCTTCGCTTTGTGGTGTGCTCCGAATAAACGTATTCATCAATACGAGTTCGTCTTCTGATTTATAAACCGAGCTTAAGAACACGCAGTAAATCGGCACAACACACCCCCACTGACTGCAGTTCAGAAGAGGTGAAAGATGAGATTTACAGAAAGCTTTCGGACCTCCTCCAAAACGCTAACCACTCTGATATAGTAATAATGGCTGGTGATTTTCATGTTCAGGTAGGTATACTGAGTGAAAATTAAAGACACCTTGGTGGATGTTACGGTTGTAGAATCTGTTTTGAATGTTTTATTTTTTGGAAAATCCCTCCATGTGTATTTATTTGTGTTATGATATGACTGACTCTTTCTGTTAACATTTTGGTACTCTATCTGATTCCATTTTGAGATTTTACCATTGTAAATTGTTATTATTTCTATATCTTGTACTTATATTGAAGTTTTCATGTTTGCTTCTGAACTGTACATATGTTGTTTAAATTTGATATTTAATATGGCTACAGCCATATTTGGATTTGATACCGTAGCAGTAAGAACTGTGTAGGATTTAATTTGTCCTACAGATGTAATTCTAAAACGTAAACGCAAATACCGCCGATGACAGAGTCCCAAGTGAAACTATAGTTAACAGAAGACAATTCGGTTTTAAACTTTATCTGTTTCTAAACAAAAGAAAACGATTAATTTAGTACAATAAATAAGGAAATTACGATTATGAAGCAAGATGAGCAAACTTACCGGACAGTATAGGGTGTCTTTAGAAAACGAATAAAAAACATGTGTCACAGCAATATAAATAAATAGCAACACCCTTCAATTGATAGACCATTCACATCAAAGAAAGTTTACAGACAGGTCAGACCATATATAGCATGGTGAGCGCTTAATCAATCTGATTGGTTAGTTGTTTCCATAACTACAATTAGTTATGGAGATAACTAACACTCCCCCCGAAGCGGTCACCACGTCCAGACCTCGTTATCGCGGCGTTCAAGTAGTCAGCTTCCTCTAGTATGCATAGGTTCCGTATATCTCGGGTGATTTCTTCGGTTGCTGTCTTTAATAACACCGTTCTGACTTGTCCGTCCGGACCATAGTTGATCTCTCTGACTATAGCTTTAGGCCACAGATGTGCTGGTGTTGTTTACTAGAACCAAGTCTCCCGGTTGTAGATATTTTCTTACGTCCAACCACTTGGATTTCGCTTGAAGGGTTGGTAGGTATTCCCGTAGCCATGTACTCCAGAATAGATCGGCCAGTTTTTGAGCTTCCTTCCATTTTTTGTTACATAAGCATGTTTTAGTCGTATGCGTTTCTTCAAATGTTACACCTCTGTTAACTAACAACAACTTATTCGGCGTGAGCACATCTAGGTTATCACATTCATTGACTAACTTCACTAGTGGTCGATCGTTCAGTATTCCCTCAGTTTCTATTAGAAAGGTTTCCAAAGACTCGTCTGTCGTTACCTTCTGAAACAGCAGTGATCTTAGAATCCTTCTTATTGACCTTATAATACGCTCGGAGGATTAAAATGCCATTCGCAACCTCTTTCCAGAAGGGTATTTGTTATCTTATTCTGGTCCCAGTTACACACGATCTGCCTGAGACTAGAGTCGGCTCCTCTGAAGTTCGAACCATTATCTCTAAATACGTGTTTTGGATGACTTCGTCTAGCAACGAATCTTGAAAGAGCGCATAAAAATGAGTCGGTATCCAAGGTGTGGGCCATTTCGATGTGAACTGCTCTTATAGATAAACAAGTAAACAAACAGCCGTATCGCTTTTCAGCTACTCTCCTCCTCTTAACGTAAAATGGCCCGAAGTAGTCTACACCAACAGAATTGAATGGTGGCACGTAAGCTTCCATACGACACTCGGGTAGTGGAGCCATGATCTGGGCGCACGGTAAACTGTTAAGTCTCTTGCAAAGGAAGCACTGTTTCAGAACTCTTCGGATGACAATTTGAGCTTTAATGATCCAGAACTCTTCGCGAAGACTGTTCATGTTATGAGTAATACCTGAATGTGCGTTCTGTAGATGGAAGTGCATTACGATTAGGTCGGTAACAAAGTGCTTATTAGGAAGTATGAGTGGATGTTTGCTTTCGAAAGGTAAGCACGATAGCTGAAGTCGTCCTCCTACTCTAATCATGTTATCTACTACGAAGGGATTAAGATTTTTTATCGGACTTCTGCGCGTAATGTTACCTCTCATTCTTTTACCAGCAGATATTAACTGAGGTATCATTTCCTTATTCGAATCAAATCCTTGAGATTTATATTTATTGCTGCTCTCTTTATCATGCTGTATTTGCTTCCATCTCCATAGGGAATGAAACCATTTGAACCAATTTGATTATATCTTGTTTCGCGCTATCGATTTCCTCCAGCATCAACCTACCATAAGCTAATGGTCTTCTATGTAAAAAATCATCCTCATATTACGAGCGAATCGTTTGCATAGAGCGAATATTCTCATCATTCTGAACCATGTCTTACAATCACTAAATTGATTCAAAAATTGGTCTGAGCAACTCTTTGCTGACGTCTCACCTAGTTCTTCTATCGATAAGTGAGCTAAAACACGTTTCTCTTCTTCGGGTGGAGTCGGCCAATTACTTTCGTCTTGCCATAACAATTTCGGTCCACGGAACCACTCATTTAGTTTGATGCTATCGTCCGACGACAAACCACGTGAAGCATAATCCGCAGGGTTATGTTTACCTTTAACGTATCTCCATTGTTTTACTGT